TGGCCATATAGTGACGGCCCCGACCACTACCGCTCGACCTGACCAGAGAAAACCGTAGCAAGGTGCTTGCAAAATCATGGTGTATATTGTCAAACAGAGCTGCCTGATAAACCGTAGGCAGAGAGGGAGAAGAAGACAACAAACAAGGGGATGTGACAAACTGTTTCGTTGGAGTTTCACCGACTCATCAGGAGGCTGAACCCTCAACAATCTGCAGAATCCCCTAACTGATTACACTATAAGCGATAATTCACCTTAACCCCGGTTGTGGTTAAGCATCAACGACTGCGCGACAACTGATACCTTGAGGTGGGTACCAACCACTGCCCTTAAGGTACCCGAACCCATGACGAAAATCAAAGCAGACTATCATTCACCAACACCAGATGAAAAACTCCACAGACTGTCGTTTCACACCCCATCACAAACCAGCAAAACACCCACAAAAAAAAAGATATATTGCCAAAAAGAGCAAGAGAGAGAGAGAGAGAGAGAGAGAGAGAGAGAGAGAGAGAGAGAGAGAGAGAGAGAGAGAGAGAGAGAGAGAGAGAGAGAATGCATGAGAGAGGGCATTTGAAGATGAATGATTGAACGCACCCTCTAGAGAAAGAGGGATCATGGGGAAAAACAACAAGAGATTGGCAAGAGTGATGCAGGAGAAGATAGCTAGCAAGAGGGACATAACAAGAATATCCTAGTGGGGTTGGCGCATTGTCTTCCCATTAAGCCACCACTACCCCCTCCGTCCTAAAATCACATTTCCTGGCCTTACGGACTAGGTTCTTAGGGGGGCGGTGATTGGCAGGTGCACGCGGGTTCAGTCTATGAATTTTCAAGCGCCAACTTCGGCGATTTTTCGTGCTCATAATAATCAAAACAAAATCTGAAAAATTGAGTTCCTGTAGATTAGATTGTGATCTTTCTAGGAAAAATATCAATAAAATAAAATAAAAATATTTAGACCGTCAAATAAATGCCGCGCCATTTCATCACATTTTTCAGTTTTGCCACCCTACAATGTGTGGGCCAAAGGGAAAAGTACCCCAACTTCCTCAATTTTTTGCGCTCAGAAGGATGACTCAACAACTCTGCAAATTGACAGGCCTGTAGATTTGGTCGTGAACTTTCCATGAAAAATATTTTAAAAATTGAAAAAAAAATTCAGACCGTAAAACAAATGTCACAGCAATTCGTCCCACATTCCATTTTTGCCGCTCTATCACGTGTCCGCCAACAGGAAAAGTACTCCGACTCCAACAATTTTTCACGTCCAATACAATACTCAAAATTTTCTGAAACTTGGAGGGTCCGCAAATTTCGTCGTTGTCTTTTTAGGAGAAACATTTTTAACAAATTAAAAATTCATTTCAACCCCGGAATAAATCATGGGGGCAATTCGATGCATATTCCAATTTTGCCACTCCGCCAGATCCCCCCACTGTGCTACCGGTAGCCCTCATGGACCTGTGCAACCGGTCCCCCATAATTTAGGACGGCGGGGGTAGTGGTGGTTTAAGGAGGCAAGCCTGTCCTCATTCGAAGTTCCACCCTGAAGGAATCGGAATGTTTAAAACAAAGAAATAAATGTGACTACGAAATACTGATTGGTAGTATGACATGATTGCATCGTTCATCGCTCATTTTTCAGCGCATTTACTCTTTATTTATATAAACTGGTATGTCGTCGTCTTTTCACATCTGGAGTCTAGTTGGTCCTCCCATCACTCCATTGCATGCATGCCTTTTTTGTTTTTTAACAATTGGAATATCCATATTACTAGCAGCAATGTTAACAGACCGGTTGCATCTCTCCTCTTTATTTAATGTGTCGGTGTAATTCACATCAACATCATTTGCTCATCACCTTTGCATGGGGATCAAATGGTGACGTGTTCGATTGAGTCTTCGACAACGTGCGATTAGCAGTTTCATCGGTTGTTTTGTGCTTTTGTTTCTCTCACCACCATCACCCTGAAGTAAATAATTCATCAACTTCTTCCCTCCTCATCCTGTGTTTGTCGCCTCCCTCTTCCCGTCTTTTTACACTGCTCTCTCTCCTCCATTGGGATCCTTTCCGATCTCCTACTCCAATAACCGATGTGGCCCATGTGGATATAGTATGTCCTCTCTCTTCCTTTGTCAGTCACCGTTCCTCTCTTCATTTCTGTCCTCCATCACCGGCACATCCACATCTGCCCTGCGGCCCCTACCCCTGTCGTGATTCAGGGCCTTTGTTATTATCCTTCTCCCCCGCCTCTGCCCTTTTCATCCCTTCCAAATTCTTTCCAATCTCTCCTTCCCCACCTTGTCCGCTCCCCCCCCTCCCCCCCCTGCAACCTGCAGTTTTGTCTTTTAGCAACTCGCGGCCTTGTCGTGCCTTGCCGTGCCTTCTCCCGCACTTCATTGGTTCCTACATCCTCACCCTGATTAGTTGACATTCCATCCTCCTCCAATCGATCCCATAGCCTGATTGGTTCCCTCAGAATCCAGGCTGCCCATTCCCTCTTCAAAAATTTGGTCCATCATCCTCCCATTTACCTTAGGATACTCCTCCACGGTTTACCCCCTCCACAAACCCCTTGACGCCGACAACCTTAATTTGCCTGCCGTACCCTATTCGTCTTGTGCCCTCATGCCCTGTCTTTGACTTTCAAGTTCTCTCCCCTCCACATCAGCTGATGAAAAGGACAAAGATTGGACGGTCAACCATAAGCCTTATGTGTAGGGGAACACGCACGGTGATGACAAGGCTGGAGCGCTGATGACAAGGCTGGAGCCATCTCTCCCTCCCTCTCCCTCTCTCTCTCTCTCTCACACACACACACACACACACACACACACACACACACACACACACACACACACAAACTGCACTTCCTGTCATTGAGCTGGTTCAAGTGCAGTCGCTACCTTGCGCCAACCAACCATAAGCCTTATGTGTAGGGGAACACGCACGGTGATGACAAGGCTGGAACACACACACACACACACACACACTGCACTTCCTGTCACCAGGCTGGTTCCAGTGCAGTCGCTACCTCGCACAAACTCGCGTATTTCATTTTTCCACCAAATGTGAATGGGACTATGCCCCTCGAAGCACAAAGAGTGCGCTTCACCAAATGTGAGTGAGAGAGAGAGCACGCTTCGCCATGCATGTGTGTGAGAGAGAGAATGCACTTCGCCACACACGTGCTAGCGAGACAGAGTGCAAAGCCGATACCCTACTCTGCGCTGCCCACGAGGAACATCTGCCGCCGCGCAAACCCGCCTATTTCATTTTCTTGCCATGTTCCTTTCTGGGCTGTGCCGAGCAGAGTCTCGCCTCAACAAAAATGGGCGAAGTGCACTCTCTCTTGTCACTGAAGCCTGGGTCCACTGCACACCATTCTGAACGTACATGATTCTTGTACTTGTCCATATACATTCAAAAGGCTCAAACAGTCCGGATGTATATGGAAATGTCCAGGTACATATCGAGTGTCGAATTGTGAAGCAAGGCCCACCATGCACTCTCTCTCAGTACTGGGCCTCGCTCCACTGTGCAACATCTGAATGTATCTGGGTCTGGTAGTGGTCCCAATACATTCAAAAGGCTCGATCAGCGCAAGGATGTGGTCCAGACATAGGCCAGGTGTGTATGTCGAATGTTTAGTGGAGCAGGGCCGGCAGCCCAAAGAGGAAAATGCAAACGGTCCTACCCCAAAAGGTAAAGCAGAGTTTGGGCTGCGCCGGCATTTTCCTTTCTGTGTGATGCAGAAGATCTGCTGTAGGTTTTTTCTGTTTCATTGTGAGATCTGCTCTAGGACCTTTTTTTTTTTTTTAAACAAAAAACTAACTTATATTCGTCTCTCGATACATCTCCCACTAACTACCTACCTACACGCAGCTTAGCAATCCGCTACAGGGTTTTTCGTGCCCAAGGCAGGAAATCTCTCCTAAGTTATGAAGAAGCCACATCTGCTCTGTGCGGGGAGCAGCACCCAAGCTTCTAACACCAGGTGCGAGCTGGAAGGCGCAAATGGTCGCTTTTCAGCCAGCCAGGAGGCCCAAGCCAATTATCTTCACTGGAGATCCCGAAGCGCATCACAGGAGGCTGTGAGGATTAGAATGGACGATGTGGGGAATCGAACCCACGACCTCCCTACTTCCATGCTCAAACCTAGCCTGCTTGGGCGCTCTAGGACCTTTTCTGTTTTCTCAAGTTTCCTTTTCTCGGTCGGTTGAATAGAGCCAATCCAAGTGCAGACACTTAGTGATTTCCGAGACTCTGCCCGTGTTTCCATTCGCACTTTGTGGGGCACCACAGACAGGGTCTGAAAAATGAGTCGCTTATCTGACGGCTGATATCCAAAATGGCAGAAATCTGGTCAGGATAAGTCGCGACATGGCATTACACCCGGACGGAATAACTTTAAAAACTCCTCCACCCACGAGGTAAGGGTCAACAGTGCCCCCCATAGATGGAGAAGTAGGGGTTCCGCTAAGGAAGAAGAATGTTGAGGTAGGAATGGGATGCCGTGTGAGCACCATCACCCAAAAAAATAAAATAAAATTAAATTAAATTAAAAAGAAAAAAAGAAAAAAAAGGGATGGGTCCTGTGAGCACCACCACCGAAAATAAATAAATAAAAATAAATAAATAATTTATTAATTTAATAAATAAATATATAAAAAATAAAAATAAAAAATAAAAATAAAAATAAAAATAAAAAATAAAAGACATCAGGAGGATTGGTAGCACAGGTTCCTGTGGGCTACCAGTAGCGTAGTGCGGAGAACCGGCAGAGTGGCAAAAACGGAAAATGCGGTTAATTGCTGCCGCAATTCACACACCCAACTTTGAACTTTTTCGTGCAAGCGACAGTGCTGCTTTGTGGATTGCAACAGGGGTTCTCCCCCCCCCCCCAAAAAAAAAAAAAAAAAAAAAAAAAAAAACTGCAACATTGCTCAAGAGAAGGGCGGGGTGGGAGGGGGAAACACCCAACAGCTCAGACAACAATCGTTGGCAGTGCCTTGAATGCAGAACAGCCAAAGTGGTGCATATTGAAAACAATGAAAAGACAAACCTCAACAAAAAGAGAAATACAAATAATAAAAGGCAACCTTGACCCTGAACCAGTGAAGCAGAACCAAGCAGCAATGACATGCGAGAAGACCTGCTGCTAATGGCCAATCCAGCCTCTTCTTTCTGCGATTAAGAACTCTTCGAATCAGAGTCTTTGCTAGCTGCAGCCCATGTGAAAACTGCGACAACCCCAGACAAGGGGAGAAAATCTTCAACAGCCACAGCCAATGATGCATGCACGCCCCTCCTCTTCTCAAACCGCCTGTCTTACGACTCTAGGGACCCTTCCTTTTTCGCCCTCTGCGCGCCTCTTGAAACCATTTGAAGTTAACAGTGTGCAGGCAGGCGCATACGTCCACGAAAGGCTGGCACACCAACCGGTGGACCTTGCTCGGTGGCTTAACGAGTGCTACTACCAAAGTACTGACGGAATGGACAGGCGCAACCCATGTGTTTGCAGCCCCATAAGAGGGGTGATAAAATCTTTAACAGCAAAGCACATCTGCATGCCCCTCTTCCTGAGACTACTGTAACAAGCGCATCTAATGAAGTACTCTGACAGAAAAGGCGGGTGCACACTCACTCCGACTCTGTCTGAGTTTCCACAACTGAGCAACTGTGTGGAAACATCAAGAGTCAAGACATATCCATTGTAATCTTCGGCAGTCTGCAGAATTCCGCGTACCTTCCTGTCGAGAACCCAGGTGGCTGAATGGTATACACATGTATCTGTCCGTAAAACAGATTACGAGTTCGAATCTGCGAATCTGAACGGAATCGAATTAAAACAATAATGTTATGGGCTGACCCTTTATGTGAAAAAAAAGAAAAAAGAACTCGTGCGCACCAAACGGTACCACCACCTGCCATAACCACGTCCGACCCCTGTTCCTACTTCGACAGCAAAGAGCAGAGCATCAAACCCTAAGACAAAGCCCTCGGCAGCACGGACCTGTCCTCCTGTCACTGCCTCAGAGGAAAAGGATTTCACCCATCAGAAGCATCACAGCACCCTGCTCAAGATGTTCTACGAGCACCTGCCTGGACTCGTTCCCACCCCACCCCACCCCACCCCACCCCCCTTGTTTAAACCAACCCATGAGGCCTACCGCTCCCACAGGTGGGTGGGGAAATGAGGGAAACCGGGTGCACAAGTCGACGTTTGGCAGATCTCCACTTTGAGGCCTTTCTCTACAGCTCGCTCGGTTTCAAAACAGTCGTTCGCACTCTCAAGATGGGAAACAAAAGCTGTAAGAAGTTAAGAACCCACCTCATGAAGTTAAGAACCGACTGCTGACTCCCAATTTGACAGCTGCGAAACTGTTCGCCACCCACTTCAGAGATCAAGGGTCACACAACCCGTATCTTGAACGGTTCTCCAACAATGTGCTGCAGCCCCTTGATGATCGAAAGCGGCGGACTGCTGACCTCTGGGATGCCAGTCCTGAACCTAGCACCGCCATCACTCTGGTCAGCTATGGCTTTCTGCCATGTGTCACTCAACATGAAGCATGACCCAATCAACGTGTAGCTTCCCGGCACCAGGAAGTAGAGAGCAAATTTGTGCATGCATTCGCTCCATGGACCCACGACCAGCTCTGCACCTGTCAAGGTACCTGTAAACGATCACCGATGACGACAGTCATTTGTAATCCAGCCACTGACAACCCAAAAGCAATCAAGAAGGCAGGGAGTGAGTGAAAAGCGGGTTGGCAGGGGGCGTGCGGGTGGGGGCCGCTAGGGTGCGAGAGGCAAATGTGGAGCTGCAACTTCACACTGGTCTAAATGTCATCTCGATCGATGCAACAAGATATGTACCACTGTCAAAGGGGGGCGAAAGCGCAAAGGTGAACAACAACAACAACAACAACAACAACAACAACAACAACAACAATTGTTAAACACACCAGCTCACATGAGCCTAAGATGACGAAGCGACCCTCCAAGGCTCGTGAGCCTCCAACTGTTCCTTTCCCTAGTGGCCTTCCACTTTCACTAGTGGCCTTCCGCTTTCACAAAGCGTCATGGCCTTGCTGTGTAGACCAGTAGGAGGCCGGCTTAGGTTCGGGTGAACTAGTCTTTGAAGGGAAAGAGAACAAGAAGACGGATAAACAGAGCGGAATGATACACACAGTGTCACACACGTAGCTGTTAATGAACAGTGAAGGCTTCAAATCCTGATGATGGATACAATAATAAGGGGGGGCTAACACTAATAAAAAGGAGAACAACCCTGGGCGATGGCAATGACACCCACATAAGAGGCCCAAAGCCCTGTCAACCCCCACAGGGCGATACAAGCACAGACGGCACAAGCATTCAAGAGGGTCAGAACCGCTACCGCCTTCACCCGAATAGAATGCCTGGTAATTATCGCTGTTTCTGAGCTGGAAGTTGGCCCCAAATACAGCTATAATGACGGGCGTTCTATTCGGGTGAAGACGGGGCTGATTGAGTAGAAGCTGTCTCTTATACACATCTAGATGTGTATAAGAGACAGAGATGGAAGTTGCCCCCAAAAACAGCTATAATGACCGGGCGTTCTAGTCGGGTGAAGACTACTGTTGTAATACAAAGTTATACACCAGTCTGATGTTGTGCCCATGGCAATGGCACCCACATAAGAGGACCAGAGCCCTGTCAACCCCCACAAGGTGATATAAGCACAGATGACCAGATGACACTAACATTTAAGCAGGTCAGAACCCAGAGGAGTGTAGACTCTGTAGAGTTGTAGACCAGTGTGTATCGCGCCAATCGAACTGTATTACACAGAGTCGATGCATCTGCAATGGAATGGACAGTCCAGCAGATCCAGAATATCTAAAGGCTGCATGTGAAATGAAAGAGAAGCTGTAAAACAAACACATATGGAAGACATCGCCGTCTGATCTGCAAAGTAGAAGTGACTTAGCACTCTCCCCCCCCCCCCCCCCGCCCCGAAGGAAAAAAAATCTGACTTAAAAACATTGAAAAAAATCTGAAAAAAGATATGTTATGCAGCATTGCAATAATAAAGAAGACGAAGAAAAAAGGACGAACTTAGCACAGGAAAGCACACTCACCTGCCCATAGGACTGTTGCCTTTGACGCCTCCGAACCCAGACAATTGGAGCCTGCAACATCCTGACAAGAGATCGTTACTGCCATTTTCTGCAGCTGTGGACTATTATTTCGCACTATCAGCACGATTGGCGTCAGCTCCCGAACCGTGGCTTTCATGCAAAGGAACTCGGAACTCTCTCCAGGCAGTTTCTGGTCGACAAGATCTCCTCCCTGTGCATTTGCAGACCGAGGTGATGCTTCTCCCTCATCCGCGGCACGATATGCTACGACCGCTGTTACCGGGGAGCTGGCAGCCGGCGATGCAAATTTGCTTACTGCTGATGGCGATTCCATCGGGGAGGAGCCAGGAGATCGTAGTGATGCCAACCGCAGAGTCGATCCAGAGATCTGAAGCTTAGGCCTTCCGTTACCATGACCTGAGGGCGTGTTATCACACACTCGAGCAGATGGAGAAGACACTGGCTGAGGAAGCTGAGTGACTGACCTCCCAACAACAAATGTAAATGTGACCGGATCCGGAAAGAGCAGATCAAACGCTGGGGGTTCAAGCGCTTGACGGATCGCGTCCCTTATAGACAGCTCGCCAGTACTATTTCGTCCAGACTGCCAACGGACGCATATCTGCGAGGCCAGCGAATCAACTGTGGCATCCAGCTCGGCCAACGACCTTGAGCTCACTGGGTCTGCCATTCCTGTGCTGCTTGATCCTCTTACTCTTTGCTGCCCTTGGATGCTCGGTGTCAGATTATCCCTTGCATTTCTAGGTGTGTTTCCTCCTGCACTTGGCCGCAATCTAAACCGTTGAATCGGTATCAACAACCTTGCTGAGCAATCCCTGTCAATGCGGGTTGCAGGGTACGCTGTGACTGGAGATTCTGAAACATGACACCTATACAACACCATTCTTGGTGTTCCCACCGGGTCTTCCTCGCATTCACCATCGGGAAGCACTCGTGTGTGTGCTTCCTGCTGCCGAATCATCACACTCACTTCAAAAAGTACATCTGTTGTGTTGAACAATTCCAACTCCATCAGCCTCAGTCCAGGCCCAGGACCAGGGTACCTCTCCAGTTCGCCTCCGGCACCCTTGCTTGCATGTCCTGTTGCTGCTGCTCCTCTCCGGCCAGGCATTGCCACGATGAAGTTTGCCGACCTAGGGCGCACATCCATCGGAAGAAGTCGGGCACGGACAAGTGTGAGCCCCTGCAGCACATGCAGTTGTAAAGGGATTGTCAGCCGACGCCCTGGTGGCAGAGCCTCTGTGCTCACGTTTCCAACCCCTGCAGAGCCTTCCGCCCGCCCCTTCCCAGCATAGTGAATTGTCAAAACGGTGCTCCCTGCTTTCTGATTGCTCACGCCAGCTCGTGCAGTGCTGGGCCGGCTGAGGGTTGCTGGTCCGTCGCTTCCTTTTGCTTCCATGGTTGCTTTGCCAGCGCGAAGGCGTATAGGCACCAACACACAGCTTCCTGGCAACAGGGGCAAGCTTGACTGCAAAACGTCCTGCCCTATGGAAAGGACCTGCTCCCGATTTCTTCCAGAGAGAGACATGTGTACCTCATCCACTGCTGCTGCACCGACGTTCGTAAGACTGAGCTGCACATCCCTTATCTCGCCCTCATACAGCACTCCTGCTCCCTCTCCTCCGGCGACAGTCGCAACAAGTAGCGGCAAATGTGGTACGACAGTAACATGTGACCCCAGTCTTTGGCGACCCCCAGACCGTACGATTGCAGAGCCTCCCACCTTGCTACGACCCAATACGTCCACAGCGTTGTTGAACAAATGTTCGGTAAGTACGCCAAAGCTTCGCACAAAACATCCTCTCACATTGACTGGCCCCACAGATCGGGGTACGCCCGATAAGGTGACAAGATGTCCAGCTGTATTCGCTGGCAAGCTTAGCGCAACTGGGAATGGATCGTAAGAACCACCCTCAACACTGAGAAACAGACTATCGACCACAACCTCAAATGAACAGGGATTCCTAAGCTCAACCACCACCTGGCTCACTTCGCCACTCACCCAAACAATCTGTGGGACCTTATTATTGCCTACTCTTCCTGAACCCCCTCCCTGAGAAGCAAAAGGAGAGTAAATAAAAGGAGTTGTGGGTTGGCCACTGTCAACCCACCATTCTTTCCGTCCTGAGAACCGCTTGACAATCTGCAGCACTGAGGCCGCCTCAACAAAGCTGTGCAGATTGACAATCGGCAGGGCAGGATCAAGACATCGGCTTCCTGTCGGCATCCGCTCGGCTGCGGCCACAAGCTTTGCAGAGAGGACAAGCTGCCCATTTGGCAGGATGGAGCTGTAGTGTCCTCTCAACAACCTTGCCGCCGCACTCCAGGCAGCTATGGGGTCCTGTGCCCGTATAGCAGCTGCCAGCATGTCGCCCAGCAATTCCATCTGCAGGGTGTTCCACTGCCCCTCCATCGGCAACACTCCTCGCACGGCATGCGATACCCCTGAGCTACTTCTCTTGGTGATCTGCATGCCGCCTTCTTTCCTCTCATTCCTCCTCTGCTCCTGGTCTCGTGAAAGAGCGACCACACTCTCCGTAAGCGCAAGCAAACCATGTTGTTGCTGCTTCAGGGCACTTTGTATAGGAACCCTATAAAGAGGTGCAGCAATCATCAACACCTGAAGTGCACTCATGGCTGCCCATCTACTGTCTTGCTGTTGATAAAGCTGGGCCACCTGGCGCGAGAAGAAGGCAGCCTTGCGCTCAAACCCCAGTAATCCAAAGATACGTGCCACTTCCACATTGAGTACCAGCTTATCACAGGGATCCGTGAGACCCCTCCCTATGCCCACAGCCAGCATCAGCAAATCAGTGACTTCCTTGGGTGTTTCCCGCCTGCAAACAACACCGCACCCCAATTCCAAGACTTTGTCAGTTTATTGAAACAACTGCCGCAGAACCTGATACCACCAGCGCCTTCCTGTCCCTGTTCGTGATTGACTTACCTATTGCATGTTGCTCTACTGCCATCAACGCATTCCTATGGATTAGCTAAAACGTACAGACACATATATCGTGAACAATGCATAATGATCGGAGAGACCTTTTTCAAAGACAAAGAAACATGCTGTCCGCTTAAACGACTCACAGGAGTCTCCAGCAAAAGTGGCCTGACGGTGATGCAGACTCAAAAACTATCCATCCTTGGAAATGACAGAGCACCTTTCCAATCAACCACAAAAATATGACAACATCATGAAAAGAGTCGCGAAACAAGAGCCGAAGACTTTTGAGAAGTTTTGACCAATCAGTTGCGGAAACAGGTTCGCCAAATTGCCAGCACAAAATGCAGGCTTGTGGTCCTGTGGAAACTAAGATACAGTATGTAATAAAAGTTATAAAACTTGTAAAAGCCAAACCCAAGGTGCAGTATGTAAATGCCCCCACGCAATCAACCCCTGCAGTAAGGTGCGTACAAGGTTACTGAAAAACCCCACGGTCCCATGGGACCTGTTCATGTTGAGAGAGAGATTTGAATTTTGAATCATGATCAGAACCTGCGATGAAAAAAAAAAAAAAAAAAAAAAAAGAACCTGCGATGATTAACAATCTGAAGTTGGAAGCAGAAAGTGCGGCTGAGAATTACTGAAGTCAGTCCTAAGATTCACTGGAGTAAATCCGAAGTGCAATTCTCCGCAATGTAGTTCTCTTTCCAGATTCCTGTATAGCCCCCTTCTGCTTCTCTAAATTTTTTGACCAGGGGCATGCCAGCACAATGCAGAGAACCCAAGCAGCCAGAGCCGATGCTGCTCAGCCCAACCGTTGGCCCTGCTGTAACGACAATAACGTATTGACGGTATTACACACACAGAGCATCATATTACTCTAACTTGTTTACATTATTTTCTTCATCTTGATTCTTCTTCTAATTAGTTGTCCAGTTTGTTTGCAACTTTGCACTCTTGTTTTTTCCCATGTTCCTTGAAGGTGTGCCGAAGTGCCTGCAACACTATCTGGGGGCCTTCTGTGTCCAGGATGCATGTGTCCCTGATTTCCCTGGTAGTGAGTCTAGTGACAAAACAGTCATGTTTTGACTCCCTGGCTCTTTTCTGGTGGCGTGAACCTCCAGTCTGCAGCATTTTCCATATGACGTGGGTAGCTGATAGCTGCACTGATCCTTGCTGTGCGCGCATGTTTTTCTGTGTCATGCTGCAGCTTGCCTTGCTGCTCACTGTGTTGGCCTCCCTTGCACGTATTCACCTTATAGCTGTTATCCATCTTCTCCTTTTGCGTTCCTTGTCATTTGGCTGCCCAAACTGCCCCTACCCTCCTGCCATTGAGCCTTGCGCCTGCTTGTTGTTCGTTTGCTAGTCCCTGTGTCTTACTGCCTGCCTTGCTGCCTTGCTGCCTTGCTGCTCATTGCGCTGCCCACCCTCTTGCCTGCTCGCCTTGCTTCTCATTGCACTGCTTGCCCTCTTGCCTGCCTGCCTTGCTGCTCATTGTCTTGTTCCCTTCCTGTTTACCTCACTGTTCAAGTGCCCGCATGCCCTGTGCCGTGGCTTGCTGCCTGCCATACCGCCTGCCTTGCTGCCGCTTAACATGTATCTTCACTGCTTGCCATGCCCCGCTGTTCCCTCCTTCCTCTTCGCCTTGTTGTTCGCCCACTTCCGTGCTCTCTTGCATCAAAGGTTGAAGCAGAATACGGTTCAACACGTTACGAGGGGATTCTGCAGACTGTCGATGGTTATGCCTTCTGATGACTCGGTAAAAGTCAGAGGAAACAGTTCGTCACCATCCTCATCTTTTTCTTCTTACTGAAATTCTGTTTTCCGGGTGGTTTCACTACCGACTTTATTTTGGGCCTCGCTTTAGTGCATCGATTGTGGGCATGTTTTCCATGTCCTTGTGAAACACCGCTCCACTGGTCTCAACATGCTACACTAGAAGCACAGCAGCTCATTAATATCACGCCCCCCTTGCCCCTCCCCACACACACTAGGATTGCGGGGTTGGTGTGAGTAAAGTCAACCACTTTTCTCAGGGCTATCGCTGACTCTGGGCGATGTGGTGAGTCCTTATCCACCAGTCAAATGGATCCTGGGCAGACTGTCGGGGTTCAACCTCCTGATGAGTTGGTGAAAGTCCGATGAAACAGTCTGGCGCAGTCATGCTTTTTTTGAGTTTATACTACTTTATAGCAAATATGACAACACACACACACACACACACACACACACACACACACACACACACACACACACACACACACACTCGATCAGTTTTGTATGTCTTTCTCTGCGTGTTCTGTCTTTCATTCTTCAATTTTTTCGAGGTACTTTATCCCTGTCGAAGCAAGCACCTCTAAGCAGTGCCAAACAGTTGGTCATTCCTCGTTTGGAGTGCCTGGCACTCTTTGCATGCCTTGCATGTTGTCTTCGCCGCCCATCCGCAGGCCGTACCTTCCATGTTTGCTGCTTGCAGGCCTTGTTGGATGGTTGCCTTGTTGCTGGTGCCTTGTGCTTTGCTCCACGTTTGCCGAGCTGCTGGTCCGCTCGCCCTGTCGTACCTTGTAGTGTGGCTACCTTGCTTGTGTTGCCTTGTGCTTCACTACACGGTTGCCGTGCTGCATGTCCTGCGTGCCATGTCGTTCCTCGCAGTCGTTCTTGGCGTTGTGCAGCCGTGTTGCCTCTACTGTGCTGCCTGGTGCTCCATAGAGTTGCTGCCCGCTGCAATGTTCCGCTTGGGGACAGTCTGCCTTCAACAAGGGTCAAAGGGTTCATGACCCAAACCATCAAATACGGAGATTCAGCAGATTGTCGAGGGTTCAGCCTCCTGATGAGTTGGCGCAGCAGAGAGCATTAGTTTGGACATGACCAGGGTCTGGTGTACCACTGTGGTGGTGGTGTACATGGCATGGATTTGCCGTGGGATCTGATTTTTACACACACACACACACACACACACACACACACACACACACACACANCACACACACACACACACACACACACACACACACACACACACACAGAAGATGGCGAAAGTATTCGTGAAGTGCCTTCTTCACACACACACACACACACACACACACACAAATGCATCCTGAGGAGACTGTCGGGGCTCAACCTCCTGACGAGTCGGTGAAAGTCGGTGAAAGTCCAACAAAACAGTCTCATGTTTCTTTTGTGGAGTCATGTACTGAAGTGAACATGACAACACAGAGAGGCACCAAGTATTCACATTAGAATGCAGCTGGCTGGTGGCTAAGTGGAAATGTAGCGAGAAAACAGTGATTTGATTGATTATGACTTCTTTTCCTCCTCCCGAAAACAAAAGAATCCGGCCTCCACAATGCTGTTTTCATGGTTTCTGAAAAAGGGTGAGATTTGACATAAAGGACCACCCGAAAAATGATGCTGTTGAAGCCCATTCCAAGTGTTGTGCTAGCAGAGAAACCTGAAAACTTCCAAAATCCCTCCTTAGAGCTATTTACAGAAAAAAACTAGATGACCTGTTGCGGCTTCATTCACAAAAACAATTACGACAGGTGATGCATCCGTGGTGGAGGCAACTGACCGGTGCAAACTTTCTCTCTTTCTCTCTCTCTCTCTCTCTCTCTCTCTCTCTCTGAGGCTTCAATGCAACCAACAATCGTAGTATCAGCGGAGTACGCCCCAACGGAGACGGGCAGAAGTTTGTAGAACTGAGTTAAGGGACAGAATTTGTTCACAGAACTAAGCTACGGTAAAAAGGGGAGGAAAGGCCTACAATTCAACTGACCCGCAAAGAAAGCGAGCCACCTTTAACATAGCCTCCACCTCAAATGACACAGTTCCCAGCCTGCAAAGACAGGCAAAGAGATCAGAGGCAGAAAAAGATTAGCATGGCCCCTGCGCAAAAACATCAGAGATGGAGAAAGGCATAGAAAGTGGTCAGACAGCAAAAGGCATACAAGCTGTGCTCTCTCACACACCAAATTCACCTCAGTGCCTCAGCAACCTCTGAGCACATAAGGGATTGCCGCTGTCTACATGCCCCGAGCGCCGGTACTAGCACTAAATACTCTGCAGCACTCTTAGTAGCAAAACTTGGCAACTTAGCCAGGATTCAACATCTCAGATTGGTGGGGCATCAAGTCCGCTACCCTCCATCCGCACACAACCACACAAAAACAGTTTTGCAAACACCATTCTGCGATGGAGGACGAGGGAGGAGGAGGGGGAAGGGCATCAATGACAAGTTGCAGGTCATTGGGGGAGAACAGGAGAAAGACAGCTGGTAAAAACCTGCCCACACTCACAGAAGAACAAGTGGAAACAACATCCATGTTGGTATAAACTTACTATAAAGACATGAACAGGAAGACCCAAGCTAGGTGGGGACAGGAGCAAAGACAGAATAAAACTGAAGACAGGGAAATGGTGCTAAAGGGCGTAAATACAGCACAGCTCCCCGCACAATGCCACATGAGCTTTCATCTAGAGAGATCTCCGATCAGCAGAAAGTTGGGAAATAAACTGAGCCAAAACGACGAACAAAAAGGAAAAACAGAAAGATCCTTGATGCCAGCCCTGCTCACAAAGCCCACCATTAGATCTACAATCCACAACAGCAAACCCGAACACACACACACACACACACACACACACTGTTACGGACTACACAGGGCTCGATCACTGGTCCGCGGGACGCTAACCGCAGTTAACTGCACACATTTTCTTTTCTTTGTTTTTCTTATTTTTATTTTTTTCTTTGTTTTATTTTTCTGAATTGGGACACTCGACGCCATCCGGCATTCTGGCGCCCAATTTCAAACTTTCGATTTTCAGTTCAGCCCTGGGCAAATTGCACGTCTGCCCATCGGACTGAACTTGAGTCCAATACTTAAGATCGGACCCAAGCCCAGTACGGGCATTCAGTTTGCGGCCTCAGTGCTTGTGCTTCGGTGTGACTTGCTTCGACATTGTGTTCGGGAATCCAAGACTTCGACTTTACCACTTTGCCACTTCGTGTCTGCGTCCGTCGAGTCGTGTCGAGTCTGCGTTGAGTTGAGTGAGTGTGTGTGTGTGCTCTCCCTCTCTCCCTCTCTCTCCCAGCCTCGTTGCCTCAGCCCCGTCACACTGGTATCGGAGCGATTCGAACCCGCCCGACCCACCCTGCTTCGTCGTCACCACCTGCCCATCATCAACGTCATCGTTGTGATCGTCACCATCGTGCTACATCATCATCGTCATCGTCGTGCCACGTCATCATTGTCACCGTCGCGATCGTCATGCCACGTCACCATCGCCGTGCATGTCGTCCTCGTCGCCGCGCCGTGCCATCCTCGTCATCGTCGTTGCTACCCGCGCAGATAAATAATCGATGACAATTTTCTTTTTTTTTATTTTTTCTTTCTCCTTCTTCGTCTTCTTCTCCCTATCCTTTTTCTTTTTCTTCTTCTTCTCCTCCTCTTCTTCTTTTACTCCCCCCCCGGCCCCCGATTGCAATCCCGACTCTACCCCCCCCGTGCTATCTTCCGCGTGACCCCGACTCCCGTCGCCCTTCCCCCCCCCCGACTCCTGACGA